AATTGAGAACGGGGCTGAGAAGGCTTGCTGATTACTACGGGTGCCTGAAACACACACTCACACTCACACGGCTCTTTTCCTGCTGCCTTGACAGCCAGTCATGCCGAGTCTCCACGTGGGATGCTGACTACCTGTGTCTGTGGTGAGCCTCCTGTCTGCAGAGTCACGGCTTTGCACTGGGACTCTAATTAGGGGTCCCATGCAGCGGCAGGCCCAGGGAAGTTCATCATGCTTGAATGGCTGAAGAGGCAGGGAGTGGGCCCCACAAGAAGTCTGTCCTGGCTCTTTCTGTAAATCTCTAACAGTTACTGAGAGAGACACACGCTCCCAGGAAAAGATGACAGGCCAGTGACAAGCAAGTGGCCGGGGACCAGCAACCATCCTTGGAGGCTGCCAGGCCAGTGTTCTTGGGGCGCCAGCACGGGCTCCGAGCAGACGCTCCCAAAGGTCCTGGGGTCCCCGCCTCCCAGTGGTTGGGCTTTGGGAGGACATGTAGTGGGCCGTGTCTCTAGCAGAAGGCTGACTTTGTCCAGCCTGCCTCCTTGTTCAAACCAATCTGCACTCCCCGAACAAACACCAACTGTGCCAGTGGGAGTGAAGGGTCCCCCAGGCCCTCAGGATCACCAGATGCCCCCCACCCCGCTGTGAGGGGCTGCTTGCACCTGGGCAGAATGGGGAGGAGGGGACGTGAGCACGTGGAAGGCTGTGGGAAGCTGCTCAGACTGAGGGGTAGAGTCAGGATGCACACCCAACCCCCACCCTAGCCACCCTGGCCCAGCCCACCCATGACATGGTCCCACTCTCCTTGGGCCTTGGGAGATCCCGAGCCTGCAGGGTGAGCCACGCAAGGGTGGCATTTCCCAAAGTGGACATCAGGACAATGGTGGCGGTTGGGCCAGGTTTGCTACTGGTTAGTCGTGACCAGCAGGCACCGGAGCTGGGGGCCTCAAGGCAAAGAAGCTGAGCCCTAGACAAGGAGGGCCGGCGGGAGCCAGTCAAGGGCTGCTCTGTGTGCCTCCCCTCCGACCTCGCAGGCCCACGAGGCCACCACCAGCCTCCAGCTGCACTTGGGTGGCTGCTCTCCTGCCCCGAGACACAGGCGGGCTGGAGATCGGAGATGGGCAGACACACACACCACTCCCATTTCTCCAGAACATGTGTGTACACACACGTACACTTTGCCCCACAGGGATGCACGCATTCACACACGTGCACGTGAACATGGAAGGCAATGCACGTACATACTCACACAGTACTGCATGCTCTCACGTGTGCAGAGACCTGCATCGGCACAAACACGGGTGTGCACTGGGCCAGTCTAGAGCCCCTACTTTCCAAGGTCTGTCCAGCTGATCACCCTGACACATGCGCAGGAGGCTGCACCACAGGTACAGATGTTCCAAAGATGGGGAGGTGAGTGGAGTGAGCCCCCTGCCCCTGAACCGGAGGGCTGGATGTTCACAGCGGGTGACCGGCTGCCGAGCCTGCAAGGGCTGTCTGGGGAAGGCCTGATGCTGGGTCTGAGCATCCCCACCTGAGCCTACAGGCTGGGGACACTGCACACAGCAACGTAGGCGATGGGGAAGGGACCCATGCCTCAACACCGGGAACAGGGTCCCCACTGTGGCTGCAAATCCCCCAGGTGCCTGGGAGACACACACGGGCCACTCACCAGCACCCAGACTCCAGCCAGGCCCACCCTCCACCATGCACCCCGCCCACAGCCACTCACAGGCCACGCTGGTCCTGCAGCGCCACCTGCTGGCAGAGAGCAGGAGGCCGCTCCCACAGACTGGCCGGACCAGCAGGAAGCACAGCAGAACAGGGAGAGGAGCAGCCTCTCCCCTCCCCCTCCCCACCCCACCCCACCCCAGGCCAAAAAAAAAATAGGAGAGATGCCAGCACCTCCTGGGCTTCAGGCCCCCAGCCTCCAGCAGTTTGCACTGCACACCCCAACCCTAGGGCGGCACAAATGCACTCACGCGCACGTGTACAGCAGAAAAGGTGCACCCACTGGGACCATGTCCTGGGAGCAGAGAGGAGACCCAGGCGCAACGCTCGGTTCTCCCGCTGGCCTGCCTGGGTGGAGGTGGGCCTAGTCGGAAATTGCACGTGCTTCCCAAGGCTGTAGCCCACCAGCCTGGCGAGGCCTGCTCCCTGCCCGGCCACACCGGCCGCCCCTGTCACCGTGACACAATCACAAGCCGGTGCAGCAGGCGGCCGAACGCTTGGAGCAGAGGCAGGGAGGCGTCTGACTACACATGCCCCAGTCAGGTGGGAGTGACCGCAGGGCAGCACTCCCGGGGCTCTGCACACACACAGCCCACACGGCGAGGGTGGAAAGCCCACCCAGGCCTGACCCTGCTGCACACGGCAAGCAGCAGGGGGCCCCATGGTCTGCACACCCAGCTCTCCTTCCCACGTCCACCAGTGGTCATCCCATCACCCCAGAAGCAACTGTCTGTTTCCCTTGCTGTCCTCAGGTCTCCCCAGTGAGACTGACCCAGCCCTTCCCACTGGACCCTCAGGAAACACACACGAACACATACATACAAACACACACTTGACCTGCGGCAGCTGTACCCCACCTCCCGAGAACCAAAGGGCTCCCCTGGGCCTGAGGTAAGTACCCTGAGACCACCAGCCCTATCTGGGGAAGCCTGCTGCCACCCCAGATCGAAACCCCAGGGAGCCTGTCCTTTCGTCTTTTGTTTTAAAGAAAGTGGGGTTTTCCCCGACAGTCCGCCTGGCTGGTGGACCCTGGCGAGATGGCGAGTACCCCAGAGCTCGGCCCTCTAGGTCCCCTAGGAGAGGCCTCTAGGCCATCAGTCAGCAAGTCCAGAAGTCAGTCCATCAAGGAAGCAAGGATCTGGGGTCACTCAGCTGTAGTGGGAGGCAGGATGGGAGGGCTCCACCTAGTGGCCACCAGAGATCAGGCCACACAGGTACCACCCAAGGGTGCGCCCCCCCCCACCCACCCACACACACAGCACACATGCAAACACACAAACATGTACATACACACAGAGACACAATCACACACAGGTGCATATACACACACAGCAGTACATGTGTATACATGCGCACACACACACACACACACACACAGATCCTGTCTGATTTGCACTCTGGGTGGCAGCAGGAGGGTACCCTGCCCAGAAGCTGGGGCCGGCCCAAGGACCCAGCCACCCATCACTGGTCCTCACACCCGGAGCTGTGGAGCCAGTGTGCAGCCCTGGCCTGCCCTGCCCCTGTGGGGGTGGGGCACGGCTTGAAGGGGATGCTGAGAGTGGCTGCACCCTTGCCAGTGTAGCCAGCTGTCTCCCTAAGAAACACACTGCCATCGAGTCGATTCGGACTTGTAAGAGACCCAACAGGACAGCCTAGAACGTCCCGTGGGTTTCTGAGACAACTCTTCACAGGAATAGAGAGCCTCGTCTTTGAGGAGCAGCTAGCAACCTTGTGGTCACCAGCCCACCATGTCACCACTCTGCCACCAGGGCTCGTTAGTGACAACACCCTGCCCTGTGAGCCATGATGCTGGGGACAGCACCACAACGGCCGGGCAGAAGCGGGCTTTGCGTTTCTGCCTTCTTTGCCTTCAGCGCTGTCTCATCCACTGCAGGCACGGCCGGGCGCACACTGCTTCGCACTGCACCACTGCCGCTGCCACCGGGATGGACTGCAGCGAAACCACGACCACACCTCCCTGCACATGGCGCCACGGGTGGGACCGGTGACAAGCCTGGAGAGACCAGAGCTCATGCCGACTGCAACCTCTGTTAAAGCACTGCACAGACAGCGGTTTCAGACCCTCCGACCGCATCGCCCAGGCGGTCTGCACCCCACTGCCCCACGTGATGCCACTGCCCCCTCCTTTCCTAAGCTTGCCGGCCAGAGCTGGGGACACTTGAGGGGAAGGGGGGCAGGGAAGGGGTGATGCAGGGCAGTACCCAGGGCGAAGGGGGGCGCGCTGTGCTTCCCTGCACCTCGTCCCAAGTCCACACCCAATGGCAGCCATGAGGGTGGGGGCCAGGTAAAGACAAGATGCCCCCGTCAAGTCCCCAAGTCCAAACCAAACCAAGGCTGCGGCCACCGAGTTAACCCAACTCATGACGCCTGCACAGTGCCAGGGTAGAGCGGACTCTGGAAGCTAGGTGGCCAGGTCTTTCTTCCAGGTGCATCCAGGTGGACCAAACTGTCAACACCCTGGTGAGGAGCCGAGCCAATTCCCCTCAGCCCCTCCTGCAAGCGCAGGACGCCCACCCAGCATGCACACGGGGTGTGAGCCCCACTTGTGCGGCGTGCACAACAGGGAGGAAGCCGTTTTCGTGCCTGGATTGGCACTCGTGGCGGTGGGTGGGGTGGGAGCCAGGTGGGCCCCAAACCAAAACACCAAACTCACCATCATCCTCACAGCAACCCTATAGGACAGTGACCCTACCAGACCCTATAGGACAGCGTAGAACTGCTGCAGTGGTTGCCAAGACTGTAACTCTATAGGAGTATAAATCGGCCGGTGGCCTCAAACTGCTGACTTTACAGCTGCACCCTACACACAACCACTTTATGCTGGCAAGGCTCCCTTCCTCGGGCCAACTGGGGACAGAGACACCGCTGCTCAGGGGACCTGTCGGCTGGGCCTGCCACACCTTGGGGGGAGGGGTGCCCTGACCAGGCCATGGCCTGAGCCAAGAGAGGTGGGCGCGGGCCTGCCGGGGTAGCACTGCCCCACTGAGGCCTCGCTGCAGGAACCCTGTCCAGGGACCCAGGCTGCCGCATGGCCGCAGGACGACATAAGGCTGCCTAGGGCACCCCTATGGCCACCCTTGACACTTAGATCCGACCTGAGACAGGGAGGGGATGCATGGGGGGGGGGGGTAGGCAGGGCGAGCGCGGGGCGGCACACACAACGGCAACTAGAGAGGCCACTGGATGGGGCCACAGGGACGGCCAGCACAGGCCTGGTGGAGCACGAGGGGTATGTGGCGGGGCCTCACCAGGACTTGGGCTCGCCGAAGTGCAGGTAATTGATGCTGTAGAGGTCCATGTCCTCCGTGTGCCAGGCGAAGGTGGTCTTCCACATGCCGAAGTAGAGGTAGGGCGTGTTGACGCCCTCGATGACCGTGCCGCACTCGCGCTCCACCATGTCCAGGATGGTCCGCAGGCTGCCGATGTTCCACTGTGCCACGTCCTGCGGGCCACAGCGGGCCTCAGCACCCACGCCCACGCCGCCCCGGGCCCCAGCACTCCACGGGCACTTACATCATCATACAAGGAGCCGCTGATGTCCGCCCCGTAGATGGGGGACATGAAGGTGAGGTTCTTCCAGTACTTGCGCTCCAGGTCGTCAAAGTCCTGGTGCCGGGGAGTGCAGTACCTGGCAAGCCGGGACAAGCAGCGGGCCGTGAGGCTCAGGGCAGGACCAGAGCGTCCTGCCATCCACCCTGCGCCCACCACCGCCCTGGGTCGCTGCCTCGACACACACTGGAAGGCTCATTCCAGTGCTGCAGTGGGCTGAGGTCTGTGCACTGGGGGAGGCAGGGGTAGGTGGGGCACGGAGTCGTAGAAGGCGGGGATGACGAGTAGGCTGCTCTGCCAGAGTGTGCCCAGCATGTGCATGCCACGCGAGCCCATGCCCTGTGTACCCCCGAGTGCAACACGTCGTGCAGGGCCAGGACCCCCAGTGCGGGGACAGCAGACCAGCAGCCCTGCTCTGAGGGGTGATGTCGCTGGTTTGGGGAGTCCTTCATGATGAGAAAGAAGCTCCAACCGCAGGCACCCGCGTACAAACGCCTTCCAAGAGCAGGGGGCGGGGCCCTGTGCCTGCCCTGGCAGCCCCGCGCCCGGCCCGCTTACTTCTCGCTGTTGGCCAGGCGGCGGTACTCGCCGACGGTCATGGCCTTCTTCTGGATGTTGTACTGCGTGAAGAGGCCCGACTGGCCCGTCACCACCTGCTGGATGGGCGCCGGGATGACCACGTCGTCAATGTCGTCGTACGTCTGCCGCGGCTTCCACTCCTTCGGGGGGATGATCTGTGGGAGAGATGCTGTTCAGCACGGCATCTGCCCTGTCCCCCCCACCCACTTCATAGCCACTTGGGCCCCCCCAGGCCCCTGAAGTGGCAGCAGGAAGCTGCCAGGCCTCTGGTCAGGTGCCAGGGGCGCAGAGGCTAGTGCAGGGCTGTGGATCAAGCCCACCAGAGGATCTGTGGGAGAGACACTGGCAGGCTGCTCTCGATAGAACGGTGCCCTGGGAACGCTCCAAGCAGCTCCTCTTCCACCACCAGCGGCTGTCGGTAGAAACCGACCAGCCCACGGCAGGGCACAGGGTACTGGCCCCACGACGCTGGATGCCCACCACACAGGAAGCACCCAGGACCAGGGGCAATCTGGGTCCCAGGCTGCATGATGGTGACCGGCTGGGCCAGTGGTGGGGTGCTCACTGCTCCGTCCCCAGCCAGTGCACATGCAGCCAGACTAAGACAAACTAGGAAGAAATACCTGGTGACCAACTTTCAAATAGCAGGCAATGAAAATCGTGTCTAAGACACTGAGAAGGTTCCAGGAGTATATCCAAACTAACAACCTGGGAGAACAGCCTGGTGACCCAGCTTCCAAACATCAGCCAACAAAACCCATGGTCACGACAGCCAACCTGCCCCTGTGGTGGGCACAACATTTCAGTCCCTTGTGCATGAGGCTGGGTGGACCCCAGTGGGCGTGTGGGGAGACCTCAGGCACTGGACTCTGGCGGGTTTGCCCCGCCCACTGTCACTCTGTGCCAAAATTGCTAGGACACAGCCCTGCACGCTCCCACTCCCACTCTGACCTTGCCAGCCACGGCCACACCAATCGCACTGAGCACAGGGGAGGGGCAGGGGTGGGGAGCACCAGCGGCTCACTTACTTACCACTCAGGAAGGCAGAGGGTAGGCGGGACGACGGACGGACCCAGAGCTAAGTCACAACGCTTCTAGTCATGCACCCCACTCCGCACCACACTCAAGATCTCAGCAAGAGGACCTTATCTGGGAGACCCCCGCGTCAATGACGCAGTCCTGGTGGAGGTGGGGACATGCCACATGATGGCACAGCCGGAGGAGACCAGTCTCGCCATCCTCGCTTCTGAGGAGCCTTCTGGCTCACTTCTTCCATGGTCACGCCATCCACCAGGACAGACCCCTGTCCACCAGGACAGACCCACCCCCACACCCATCTGCCAGGACACGCCCCCACTGCTCAGGGTCTGTGTTTGCAGTGCTGAAGGAGGCTGGGGAGCGATGCTGGTCTACATGGGGGGTGGGGGCACCTCCCAGAGGACTAGACTGTCCAGTCTGGGCCTTCTCCATGACCACTGCCATTGAGTCCAGCATCAGCCTCAGTGCCACCAGCTGTGTGTCCCCGTCATGCCCGGGGCCCCAGAGTGCCAGCGAGGACTTGAGTGGGGGCAACAAACACACCAAAGGCAGATGAGGCAGAGCAGAGACGTACAAGGGCCAGGCTGGGCACACAAGCACCATAGGCATGAACGCACAGACACACAGACAGACACACAGACAGACAGACACACACACACACACACACACACACACACGCACGCACGCACGCACGCACGCTGCTGGCAACGCCCCCTCAGCTCCTGGAGCCTGAGCTTCTGCTGGAGGGGCCTGCCTCAGGCTGAAGGCACTTACAAGGGGAGCCGGGGAGACCCTCACTCGAGGTCAAACGGAAGGGTCCTCCGTGCCTTGAACTTTCGGCTCTCATAGCTAGGCCTTCAGCAGGTCTGCGCCAGACCCGGCTGGCACCAGGCATCTGGACCAACTCCATGGGGCTGGGGTGCTCAGGTCAGACTGAGCCACCCCCATGCTGCCTGCTATGCTGGGGTGGCGGGCAGGCAGCTGGCAGTGAAAATCCCAGCAGGGTCACCTCTGGTGGACGGGTTACAGTGGAGCTCCCAGAGCAAGGCATACTAGGAAGAAAGGCCTGGTAACTAACCTCAGCAAACTGGACAGTTCAAAGTGGAAATGGTCAGACACAGTGCAGGAAGATGAGCCCCGCAGAACACACCGCTGCTGCACCCGCTGGAGCTGACCAGCACGGGGTCACGAGGAGCCAGAGCCAATTGGACAACACCTCACAGCAGGAGACCCCTGGCCACAAGGTCAGCAGAATAAACAGGTGCTCACTCACACACACAGGCGTGCATGCACACACTGGCACTCACCGCAGAGCCGGATGGACAAGAGCAGGCGGAGGGGATGCCCCGTCACAAAACTGGTGGCCTGAGGGATGAACCCAGGGCCCCTGTCTTATAACAAGTGGGCTGCCCAGGGCCATTGGTCCCAAGAGTGACAGGGAGATGGCCAGGCAGCCAGAAGCACCAGAGAACCCTGTGAGAAAGGAGAGGGTCCTGGCGCCTGTGGGGGTGGAAATGGGGGTGCGTGTGGGGCTGTGTGTGCAGTTGTGTAGGGGGGGTGCACGGACAGGTGTATAGTGGGGGGGGTGTTGTATGTGTGTGCACAGCTCTGTAAACAGGAACAGGTGGGTGCAGTTGTGTGAGTGGGTATGTGTCCAGGTGTGAATGGGTGTGCATGTGCCCACTGTGTATGAATGTGTGCCAGGCTTTGAGTCTGTGTGTGAGGAGTGCGTGTGTAAGCATGTGAGGTGGTGCACAGGTGTGGGGGTATGAGCGTGTGTAGTAGTGCAAGGTGTGCAGGTGTGGGCACATGCAGGGGTGTGAGGTGTGTGTACACAGCTGTGGGTGTGAGCAGGTGCAGGCTGTAGCATGCACCCTGCAGTTGCCAAGCCTGTCAGCATATCACACTCCCTCCATGTGCTGACCGCCCAGTGGGCCTCACCCCCGCTGCCCTGCCTCTCTAGCACTGCCTCCCTCTCGCACCCAGCAAGAGACGAGCAGACCAGCCACCCCTGAAGGAGCACGAGAGGGACCTCGCAGAACTGAAGGAAGGCCGTGGAAGACTCTCACCGCCATCGAGCCCACCCGACTCACGGCCACCCTGCAGGAGGACCTGTGCGTTTCCCAGGCTGTCACTCTTCACAGGAGCAGAAAGCCTTCTCTTCCTCCCTTGGAGTGGCCGGTGGTTTGGAACTGCTGACCTTGCGGTTAGCAGCCCAATGCGGAACCACCACGCCACTGGGGCTTGTAGAGAAGACTGAGAAAGAAACTCAGACTCACGGCCACCCTGCAGGCCAGAGCAGAAGCGCCCTGCGGGCTTCCAGGACTGCAGCTCTTGGCAGGAGCAGGAAGCCCCACTGCTAACCTTTCCCTCTAGTGGTCCGGAACTGCTGACCTTGCGGTTAGCAACCCAATGAGTAACCACTGTACCACAGGGCTCCTAGAGCAGCACTTCTCAACCTGGGGGTCTCGACCCCTTTGGGGGTCGAATGACCCTTTCACAGGGGTTGCCCGATTCCTAACAGTAGCAAAATGACAGTGATGAAGGAGCAACAAAAAGAATGCTATGTTTGGGGGCCCCCACCACGCGAAGACCTGTATGAAAGGGTGGCGGCATGAGGAAGGCTGAGGACCGCTGTCCTGGAAGGAGACTCAAAAGCAAAAGCAAAACCTTACTGCGTCCATGTGGACTCGCAGGGACCCTGTGAGACAGGACAGACTGCCTGCCCCTGTGGGTGGGTTTCACAGGCTGTCACTCTTGAAGGGGTACAACGTCCTGTCTTTCTCCTGAGGGGTGGCCGCTGGTTTCTGACTGGTGACTTCGTGGTTAGCAGCCCAATGCAGACCCACTACGCCACCAGGGCTCCTCGGACATGCTGGCCTCGGAAAAATACCCAGGACAACCGGGCTCCGCCCGGGGGCGTTCAGATGAGCAAAGACGTGTCCAGCTGGACAAGCAGCTCAGAGCAGAGAATGGGGGCCTGGAGCAGGTGGGAGAAACGGATCAAGGAGGGAGGGAGGGAGGTGACTAGCAAGGTGACGGCTAAGACAGGGCATTACATGGGATCTAGAGGTGTCTCCGCAGGAACGGAGAGAATAAAAGTCCAGGACGCCTGCTCACGGCAACTCTCCCGGCAGCAGAGACATGGGAATACCCGTCAATAAGGTCGGCTGTCCCCAGGGGAGGGGGAAGCCAGTCCAGCAATGATGGGGCAGGGCCTCAGGCCACTCCTGGACAAAGGGCTCCACACACAGCGAGGGGCGGGGCCTCAGGCAGACGGCGGGTGAGTGCACAGCCAGTTCCCGGCAGAGGAGTGTGAGACTCAGACCTGCCCAGCCCTCTGTCAGGAAGAGACCTCACCTGCAAGACCTCATAAATGGCTCCAGGCCTTAGATCACTGAGAGACGGCTGGCTGGCATCTGGCATTGGGCCCCCAGCGGAGACAAAAACATCACCCGAGGCAGCTACCCCATGCCAGGGCTGAGTGCAGGGGCCAGAGCCCGGGAGGGGCAGGGGAGGAAAGAAAGAGAAGAGACAGAGGGCCACTGTGCTTGTTGCATCGTTCTCTAAGCTAGCTGAGGAGCAGAGGTGCCAGTTCACTCTGGTCAATGCTGCACAGCAGAGTCCTGCTCAAAAGGAGGGGGAAAGAGCAAACAGATTTATAGATTCTCACAGAATCCAAACTTTCTGGAATCAGAGGCTGGATGAACCCTTCCATCCCCACCGGAACTATCATCCTTAACCTTCAACTAACAACCAAAACTAACCCCCGAAGCCTCCTTTACATCCAACAATCGCTCAGCTTAAGCAGTGCAGACTGTCGGCCTTGAGCACCCCGCCCCCGTGAGAGCTATCTCGGTGGGATGAAAACGACCACAGCAAGTCGCCAGGTTGGAAAGGACCCTGGGGGGAGGGAGCTCATGTGTCAGTGGAGGTACAGCTCAAAGGACGAGGAGGGGACACGGAGCTCACTGTGGTGAAACGAAATTACACCACAGACTGGGATTCCCACCAGGTGACTAGGTGGGAGCACCCAAATAAGGTGTAGCAGATTCTAGCTCAGGGACTGGTCAGTTTTGTCATTTTCCTGGGTGTGGGAGAGCAGTGTCAGAAGCAGGAAGAGAGAATGCCAGGACCTCAGACTAAAAAGAGCCACCGACGGAGTGTGTGATAGGTAGGTTTAGTTGTGCCAAACTGGCCAATAGGAACATGTGGGATTATCAGGTCACGGTTTGGAAGGCAAAGAGATAAATGACTCGGCAAGGCCCGCCCCTTGCTCTCTGGTGATCAGACCAGTGTGCAGCTGCTTTAGCACATTCTCTGCCTCAACTTGTGAACTGCACTACCTGTGGGACAGCCAACAGTGGATCCTGTCACTAGAGCTTGAGGTTCCTTTGAGACCTGCTTTGCTGTGCTGCTGGTGTGCACATCGCTTGAGCTTGAGGCTGGTGGATCCTGGTTGTCCTGCATTGCTGAAGCTCAATATTCCATCCAGGCCTGCTTCGCCAAGTTCCTGAGCTGCTGTTGGTGACCTGCACTGCTGTTTGCTGCCAGTGGGCGGACTCTGACCCTGCCTGCACAGCCCAAGGGAAGACTCGGCTGTCTGCTTCCTTGACCTTGAACTTCCAGTATATTACCTGTTCCACGGAAGTGAGTTGAACTGAGTCCTCTTACTGCTGCATGGACTAATTAGCTGTTATGTTCCTTCATGTTATATTCCTTAAATATGGCATAAACTTATATATGTATGTATATAAAAAATTATGTGTCCTGGTTTTGTTGCTTTAGAAAACCCTGCCTAACACAGAGTGCATGTGAGATCCCTGTGTGAAATGACAGTCAAGGGAACAGGCAGAGGCCACAGCACTGAGACCAGGTAGCACAAGTTGGAGCCCTGAGACAATGAGGCAGTGCCGCGAGACCACCAGGGTTATTTTGGGTTGCTAGGTTAAGGATGATGGCACTGGGCTTGGCAGAGGCCAAGGAACCATAGGCGGGGAGACTGAGGAACGAAGTCACTGGCTGGAGACAAATGACTCTCCTGAATGTTGACCTTGTGGTTAACCTGTTCACTTCCCTGTGAGTTCTGCCGGCCACCGTAACGGGTTACTGGATCCAGCGGAGGAGGAGAGTGCCATGGAAGGGTGGTGGTGGTGGTGGTGGCTGGTGTCAGACAGAACCTGGGGAGCGCAGAGGGAGGAGGCCTGTTTGACCCCTGTCTTGCGGCAAACAGCCTCGGGATGATGTGGGCTGGATTCTCCTTGCGCCCACTGAAGATGGATGGAGGAGGTCACGCACGGCTTCTACACCACCCTGAAGACCAGAACGAGGCGGTCCCCAGTACTACCACGTGCTCTGAGAAGGCCACATGAGAAGGTCCTGCTGCAGAGTGAGCGAAACATGTGCAAGGAATCTCAGGACCTCACCAGAGAGCGGGCTGACGGCCGTCCAGAGCGGGTTTCCAGCAACGCTGGCTTGAAAAGCATCGGCTGGGACAGAGAGCCCCCTGGGGCCACAAGGACCCATCGCCTGTCTCTGGCAGACCTGCTTCCCACCCCTGCTCTACACAACGGTCCCTGAGGTGACACGCTCAGCTGCTAACCAAAGGTTGCGGGTTCGAAGCCCCCCAGAGGTGCCTCACAAGACGGGTCTCGTGATCAACTTCTGAGACCACCGACACGGAGAACCCCATGAGGCGTGGCCCGGCACTCTACTGGGCACCAGGCTGCACTCGGAGGAGTCATGGTTTGGTTTCAGGAGTATGACCAGGAGACAGGTCACATGGAGACTGGTAGGAGGGAGGGCACCCCTGTCACCCTCAGCCCTGTCACCCTGCTTGAACTCACCTGTGCCCTGTGCCCTACTGTCTACTAAGCACCACCGCCCTCCCCAGAAAGCCCGCCCTTCCTCCGGGCGTGCCCAGCCTCTCCTCCTAGCGCACTCCGTGTCTGCACAAGCTGCCATTTCTGAGTCCGCGCCCTGGAAGGAGGCCTGGCCCAGCCTCAGGCAGCATGGAGGGCCGCTGTACGGGCCAGGGTTGGGGGGCCTTGTGGTCCAGTGGGAGGGGTGGCGAGCAGGGCCCTGACTCACCTTGGCCAGGCCAGCACGATGGGCGCCCTGGGACTCAATGTAGGCCACGTATTTGTTGAAGTCCTTGAACTCTTCCATGGTCGGGCGGAACGTCATGATCTTGCAGCTTGGGTTCTGAGCGCCATGGTCCTCGGACCCCATGGCTGCAGCTGCAAGGGCACCACTCCTCTGGGGGGACAGGGTCAGGGCATCACATCCAGTTCTCTGTCCCCCCAGCCACGCTTACCCCACCCAGAAACTCATGCCCGCTTGTGGTAGTTACATAATCTGGTGTCAATTTGAGACTTAAGAGTGAAGGGGTGGAGTCCAGTCTGTCAACCGGATCATGGCCAACAAGGCCTCTGCGTGGGCATGACTTTCTCCTGAGAATTCTAGGAAATCTGATTATTTTTCCTCTGTGGAGGCAGGAGACACTTCTCTTTCTCTCTGCTCACTCCCTTGGCAACGCTCCACCAACAAGACACATGGCACTCTGCTGACAGACCCCGTGCCCTGGGAACTGGAGGAGCCACATGGAGACCCCTGCCAGCACGGAGATGCTTACAACGCCACTGGATCACTGGCCTGTGATCATCCTGCATTTGGCGTCATTGCACGTGTTTCACGAGTCTGAAGACGACTTTATAGACAGGCATCAGACATAAAGGTTAATATCAGACTTATGGGCTTGGACTGGACTGGGTTGGGATGCTTTCTTACTGCACAATTACCCTTTCTATAACACTCTCTTACATACACAAGTGTCCGTGGATTTGTTTCTCTCGTCTACCCAGACTGGCACACCACTCTTCTCACAGCGATCCTCCAGGACAGAGCAGAACTGCTCCTTATAGGAGCAGCCTGCCTCACCTTTCTCCCAAAGAGTGGCTAGTAGGCTCAAACTGCCAACCCCGAGGTGAGTGCACGGAGCCTAGACCCCAGACAGCCCCAGGAGCACACAAGACCAGGATGGCGTAGGGTATGAAAGTCCAGTGCACTGTCCCCTTCCCCACCGCCCTGCCCCTGGGACCAACACCTTCCTGGGCAGCATGCACCCACCTCACTGCCCACCTGGCATTGCCGGCCCATGAGCAGGGCTGCAGGGAGGCAGGAGAGGCGGGGAGCTTCGTGTAATCAGGTCTGTTCACGGGGAGCGCGCACAGGTGCAGAGGGGAGTGAGACGAGGGCCCCTGAAAGTGGTGAGTGCTGGGCGTCTGGCCTGGACAGCCTGATTCCATGGCCAGAGGTGATCGAAGCCAAGAAAGGTCCACTGGGTGAAAACCAGTCTACACACATCTACAGGGCCCACGGTGAACACCTCAGCTGCTCACCTACCCACGGTGCCTCCAACACCTGCCCCTCCAGAACCCCAGCAGGGCACAGCCCGGGGCAACCCACGAGGTCAGTGTGAGCGGGGAGCCTGTCCACCTCGAGGGGGTGTGCAGCCCGGCCTCCTCATCACACAGGCACAGCGGACCCCAAGTTCAGGCTCTCGGGAGCTGGGCAAGGCTCCTTCTGGTCCTGGGATTTAGGGGGCCCGGTGGGTGGTAGAAGGGGTCTGCTTGGCTGATGTGAGGTAGCAGGGGGCGGAGGACAGGGAAAAATGTCCACCCTCTAGCACTGACGGAAACTGAACGAGGTGTCCCCGAGTCCCAGCCCGCCTCCCACCCCTCACAATGACCCAAGAACGGTGGGGAGGGGTGGCGTGGCATAAGACAGGAGGGCCTCCACAGGCAGTTCTGAGATGGGGTTCCAGACTCCCATGGTGAGGTCCACGGCTCACTCAGTGTGTTTCATGTAGTGACCACTAGAGGGCAGCATCCCCCCAGCAACTGGCAGGTAGTGCTCTGCATGGAGAACCTGCGATGGAGGGTGCTGGGGGATGAGGGCCAGAGATGAACTGCGAGGGGGCCAGTCCAACAGGATATGAGGGATTGGGGGGGGCGGGGGGAGACAATATACACCCACACCAAAAATAAAAACAAAACCACCTGACTCAACTGCTGCCGAGTGATTCTGACTCAGAGACCCAGACCCTCCAGGACGGGGTGGAACTGCCCCTGTGGGTTTCTGAGACTGTCACTCTTCACAGGAGTAGAAAGCCCTTTCTCCCTCGGAGCAGCTGGTGGATTCTGACCGCTGGCTTCTCGGTCAGCAGCCCAATGCGCAACCACTACGCCGCCAGGGCTCCGGCTCCACAGCACGCGCCAGGCTCAGTGGAGGTGGTCCACTGCCATAGTCGTGTGCACAGCAGACTGTGCCACAGGGCTTTCAGAGCGGTGGCTACAGAAGCAGACAGCCAGGCCGACCTTCCCCAGTGCCTCTGAGTGGATCTCAACCCCTCACCTACAGATTGGGGCTTGCTCTGCGTCTGGCTGCCGTGTGGAGCCAGCCCCTCCACAATGCACACAGGACAGGGGCAGGGCAGGCTCGGTGGCAAAAACCTCACCCTCCACGCAAGAGACCTGGGTTCGACTCCCAGGCCAGGGCACCTCCCGCACAGCCCCCCATCTGCCCAGGCAAGCTTGTGTCTCGCCCTGTTGCTGAGCAGGTAAGACCAGTAAGAAAGGCCTGGCGACTGGCTTCCATGAAAACCCCAGGAGCACACATGGTCTGCTCTCCCACCCAGCCCTCAGAGGGAAGGAGCAGGAGCCGCTGCGGCAGGGATGGCGAGCCAGGGGACTGGGCTGACAGCAGGTGACAACAGCAGGTGGCTGTGGCAGTACCAGGCGGGGCCCAGGGGGGTAGGGCGGAGCACAGAGGATCAGAAGATGCCTGAAGACACAGCAGCTGCAGGACTTCAGCACCTGCAGCAGCAACTCAGGGACTCCGGGGCTCCCTCCCTCCCTCACGCCTGCCCTCCGGGCTGAGGGTGACAGAGCCCCCTCCCATGAGTTGGGCCGGGGCTTCCTGTGTGCCAGTTTCCTGCTGTTTGTGGCAGGCTGCCCTGGGGCTTCCAGAAGCTGAGCACAGGACCACCTGTTAACCAGCAGTTATCTCCAGACCACTGAAAGTGGCTCCCGTGGCCACCGCACCAGAAGGCCTTCCTCCCCCTCCCACCAACACTCCCAGCACTGCCTGGCTCCACCCCAAGGCACTCAACAGCCAGCCTCTGGGCCTGGGCAGAAGGTTCCAGAAAAGCCATGGGAAGGGAGGGTGGCTGAGACTCAAGAGCAACTTCAGGTGAGGGTGGGAGGTACTGAGAAACGCCCGAGGGCGCCCTGACCTCCAGCATGCCGGCCCTCCGTCGCTCGGGTGCTTGAGAACCAGAATTCAGAGCCCAGAGCTGGTAAGAACCAGGCGGGTGTTTTCTGCTGGGTACGGCCCCTGAGGACGGTTCTTAGGTTTTATAGGGCAAGATAGCTAAGGTTCTCTATCAACCTGGCTGGGCCAGGATTCTGGGAGGTTTGGCAGTTCCGGCCCAGTAATTCTCCACGATGGGACCAACCACAACTTACTCACTACCATCATGGGACCTTCTGTGAGCAGCCCACCAGCACCCTAACTCAGATCCCATTCTAGATGTGATCAACGGAAGTAAGCTGCCTGGGGCGTGTGGCTGCGTGCTTCCAATAGATGTGGGCACTGGAGAAAAGCTTGCTTGCTTTTTGCTGGGTCTGGATCTTGGATCTGGCTGGCCAACCTCCTATTCTTTGGACTTCAGTCAAAGGCATACCTTAACTACCTGCTGATCCTGGGAGTCGCCAGCCATATGACCTGCTGATTCTGGATTCATTCACCTCTGCCTTGTGCTCTTCCCTCGGACCTTGGGTTTGTCAGTTCCCCCTCCACCCCTCCACCCTCCAGCTACAGGAGTCAGGAGAGGCCTCCGGCCTGACATCTGACCCACAGACTTGGAACACGCCTGTTTCTACAGCTGTGTGAGCCTTCGTCCTGATGTAGACTTCTATCTGCACACACGGGTGCTGCCACTGTGCTGCGATAGAAAAGACAGCCTGAGACACAGCGTCCGTGGTGAATGACTTCTGGAAACAGGAAGCGGGAAATCTGTCACTTGGAGGTTTTCAACATGCAAGCAGTACGTCCTCTGGGCTATGTAATTCACCATGGCCCGCCTGTCCGCATAGGGGTGTTGCTTCTTAAGGATGGAGGGGTCTGTGATGGCTCCAAAAACGCCACACCTTCTCAGCAGGGCCTTCCCACTGGCCTGGAAGGAGGGTACCCTCGTGTCTCCACCTCTTACCCCTGCTCTCAGCCCCCAGGAGGACTGGCTATCAGGTGAAGCCCCAAACCTCCCCAACAAACCCCAGTCCCAACCTGCTCCATCTTCAGCCTGATCCCCAACAGGGACAGAGACAGAGGTGTCCCCAAGCCAGGCAGGATTGGCTTATCCTCCACCAGGCTCTGGCCAAACTCTGCACCGAGGCCGGCAGCCAGGCCTGGCCCCGGGGACCTCAAGCACACGCTCTGTTGCCGGAGAGAAAACGTGCCTTCTGCAGACACACACCCGGCTCAGGGCAGCTCACCTAACCCAGGATACCCTCTGCTTATCTACTCTACCCGTGCCCTGCTGCTGGGCCCCCCATGGCAGCGCTGGGTACCTGACCTCACCCACGCTGCACTGGTCACAGCCAGTCCTGGCTTCAGAGAGGCCTTGGCCAAGTCTGCTTTCCGGAGTGCGGTGCCAACTGTGGGGCCAGCGCCTTCTGTACCTGCTGGCCGGCCTGCCTGCTCAGGGCCCTGCATGCTGGCCTTTCCAGAAGGCAGCAGAACCAGGGGGAGGGAGTGGGCGCAAGGCGCAGGGTGATCACGGCCATCGGGGGCAAGCCATGCCTCAGACAGCCCCGAGCCTGGACGGCTCCCCCCACAGAACTGGCCGGCCAGGGCACGAGGGGCGGGTGGGGATGACTGGCGCGAGGGACGGGGAGGGCCCTGGCTGCAGGTGATGGCACACTGCGAGGACACCCTCAGTCCAGAGGCAGGAAGGAGGCAGCACAGCTGCCTGTGGGTGACCGCCAGCCACGCACACTCTCAAACAGCCGGCCTTGCTCCCAGTTCGGCCGGGGGCCGCCATTGCACTGGGCCGCAGTCACGGTGCTGCCAGAGCTGCTCCTGCCCAAGGCCCGCCCGGGTGCCTGGGCTTGTGGCCCCTCCTCTCCTTCACAGCCTGCAGTGAGCGCGACCCCTTCCCCTTCCTCTGTCTCCGTCCTCACATCTCCTAGTCCTACTCTACCCTCCAGCCCCGACTCTGCGAGCACACTGGGTCATCCGGGGTCATTCACACACACACCTCAATATCCTTCACTTCTCCCCACAGTCAAGGCCTGTGCCGGAAACCGCATCCACGGGTTCCTAGGGCTGGGACACGGCACCTTTGGGGACTGTCTGTAGCTACAACAGCCTGCCACACAGAGGACACACCAAGGAAGGAAGAGGCACCGAGTCCCAAAGGCCAGCACTTAGCACACTGCATCGCCAGGGGCAGCGCTCCTCTGACCAGTCACTCCAAGCTCACTACCTGAGAGGCTAGGCCCACCCGCAGCGACCCAGCAGGGCAGGGAGAACTTCCCCTGGCAGTGTCCAAGACCATCCCTCTTCGCAGGAGGAGAAAGCCCCACCTCTCTCCCACGGAGTAGCTGATGGGTTTGAACTGCTGGCCCTGTGGTTAATGGGACCCTGGACCAAATCACGATGCTGTGGTTAGGTGCCACGAGTGGGTTCCGACTCACAGCGACCTGATGTACAGCAGGACGAAGCACTGCCCGGGCCCGGGCCATCCTCGCATGGTTATGTTTGAGCCCAATGTTGCGGCCACCATGGTCAGCTCATCTCGCCGAGGGCCTGCCTCTTTCTGCTGCCCCTCCACTTCGCTGGGCAGGATGCCCTCTCCAGGGACTGCTATCTCCTGACAGAGTCTCATTTAAGGAGCATTCTGGTTGTACTTGATTCCAAAGGGGTTTGTGGGTCACATCTTGTTTATCGATCTTAATAGCTAAGAGTCTAGCCGAATTAGAAGGAAGGAATGCCTGCATGCAGCACCCCCGCCTTCATGGACGGATCTCCAGGGCAGGCGCCTGTGCTCACGCCGGCGAGGACGCTGGGGAAAGGTTGTGGGGACGGGCAGGTGGCACCATGTGAAGGAGGTCACCCAGCTCCCTGGCTCGGCTGCACGGCTTTTTGTTGGGTGCATTTTCACCCAGCATTAAAACATGGGCCATCGTCCGACTTTACAGCCTCCCCTCAGTGGCCAGTGACCATCTCTCACAGTGGCTGGGGCCAGCAGAGTGCCCCAGGAGTCTGTGTGGCCCAGACTTGCAGGGTGTCCTGCGCAAGTCTGCTGGCTCAGGCTGCTGACAGGCAGGCAGACTCAGGGCCAAGAGGCTCCTCAGGGCTGCGCTGTGTCCCCCAAGAAGATATGCTGGTGTCCTGAGCCCAGGACCTGGGACCAAGACCAGGTTTTTAGAAAGAACAAGGTTTTTCTGGAAGTTATCAGTGAATGGGGTGGGTGTCGTCCTGAAGCGGGGTGGGTGCTGGTCCCTAGAGGACAAGAGGTAGGTGGAAAGATTGGCTGGAGGGAGGGAGGGAGGGAGGGGGTCTCATCGCTGCAGAGGTCAGTGCATGCCGAGGGACACCAAGGGCTCCCAAGAGCTGCCAGGGTGAGGCGATAGGCCCAGAGCAGGCACAGCCAACATCCTGTGTCCACCCCCAGTAGTTGTTCCCACAGGGGGCCATCTACTCTATCAGCTGGGGCAGGCAAGTGCTCTCACTCCCAATGGACACAGCTAGCCGGGCGGCCCCTCCACCCACAGCCTGCCTGCCTGCCGGGTCTTGGGTGGGGCTGAGAGACGGGACCCAGTGTGCAGTGACTTACTTCAGCGTGTTGGGGGGTGGGGGGTGGTCCTGAAACGAGGAGGCTGCGGGGGCTTCCAGAGATTTCCCAGAGTCCGTCAGGCAGCTTGGCGGTTGTGACAATACCTGCAGTGTGCAAAACATGAGCACAGTTAGCTCGTCAAGTCCCAGTCCAAGGCTGTCACTGTGAAACAGGGAGCGGGGCGCCTGCCCATCTGGGCACATGAGAACCCACACCTGAGAGCACATCGCCCACACCGGTCACCCACGATGCTTGTGTAGGCTCAGGTCCACAAGACCCATACCGAAGCATTAATGAGTACCACTGGATTAAGCCAAAGAAGCTCTGGAAGCCTTGAGACACAGATTTTCAGAAACAAGTTGTCTGCTCTCAGCACCCTCAGCTTCTGAACGCACCCTGTGAGTCCTAATGAAAATGGGGCCACCACCCACCCCCGCAAAAAAAGCACACACACACATACACACTGTGGGCCGCTAGAAGCAGGCAGACTTAAGTGCAAAGTCGCAGGGCCAAGAAGGTCCAGCTGCTGCCAGCACCTGAACAGAGGTGCGGGTCCACCTTCCCAGTGCCTGGCTTTTCTCCCAAGAGATCGCAAGTCCTCCCTTCCAAGGCACTTTTGTGTGAGCTTGACCCTCCACTCTTTCGGTTAACAGGCAAGCCGGGGGCCTGTTAGTGCCACCCAGAGACTGCAAGTTCTGGGTAAGACCCACATGCTGCGTGAACTGCAGTCTCTGGCTGACCTCCACCTGCTGGACAGATGCAGGGCACGTTCTAAGCACAGGGTTGGTTGCCAAGACCCCTCACCCTCTGATTTAAGAGACCCGTGGCTGCGTCCCCTGCCCACCACCCAGAGGACCCCTCCTCTCCAGGCGTTGGCATCCCGAGGACAGAGGCTGTCTTGCCTCGACATAGGGCTTGGGCACCCCCTCCTTGGTGAGCCCGAGCTGGCAGGCCAGTGGCTCCCCCCACCTTCGCACTGACACTGCCAACCAGGCAGCCCCAGGTCCACAGCAAGACAAAGCGCTGCCCGGTCCTACACAGTCCCCAGGATGGGTGATGGATGGAGCTAGTGTGAGCCGTGGGGTTTTCAAAAGTCGACCCCAGGCCTTTCTCCCTAGTCCAACTACGCCTGGAAGCTCCACTGAGACCTGCTTAATAGCACCCTTGCAACACAGCGAAGAGGACTGAAGGTACAGGCTCTGCCGAGAGCAAACAAATCCGTCTTGGAAGGAGGACGGCCGAAGTGATCCTTAGAGGCAAGAACAGCGGAAACCTCATCTCCCGAACTGAGGGCATGCTGTCAGGAGAGACAGTCCCTGGAGAAGGGCATCATGCTTGGGAAAGTGGAGGGGCAGCGAGAAAGAGGAAGACCCTGGGCAAGATGGACGGACAGGGTGGCTGCCAGCACGGGCCCAACGCTAACAGTTGTGGGGACGGCACAGGGCAGGGCAGAGCTTCACGGTGACGTCAGGTCACGTGAGGCAAAACTGACTCGACGGCACCAACAAGCAACACCTCAGCCTCCGCGGTCTGATGGCTGTGGGTGCCCAGAGAGGTGGAGGCGGGACGCAAACCTGGCCTCCTGTTGGAAGGCCAGGCTTCTCCCAGGGAGGCCGCTTCTCCCAGGGAGGCCTGACACCCTTCCCTCCCTAAGTGTCCAGCCAAGAACCCTCGGGGCTGCCAGGTTCAACCAAAACCAGCTGCCACCACCCGGAGGAAATGTGACCACACGTCCTGGGACTGAAAATCGGAGAGACTGTGAATCTGAGTGTGGCCTTCCGTTCGAGAGGCTGGGCCAGTGCTGGTTTGTGCTGTCTCCGTCGTGTGTGTGT